TCAACAAGGCACAGACCTAAAAGAACGTTGATTTTTACCAATCATGAGTTTGTGTCAATTTTAAATCTGATGATGGCGCTGTTGTCTCGCCGAAACCTAATGAAATAAACGATGTTTCAAAATTTTCACTTCACATTTTGACTGAAACCCTGGAAAGATAGGAATATCGTAACAAACACAGGAATATTTACGAATATTGGGCGTGATACCAGCAAATGGAATTAGAAAAACTGCTTAGAGCGAAAGAGGAAGATGGCGATTTTCTGCAATATTAAACTTGTAACTTAACTGTAAATAATCGCATTGTGAATGAGGTTACAACTGGCACAAGAGTGTTTCCAGCCATTTGGCGTAAATGCCTTTATGTGGTCTAATCAGAAGCTGCCTGCAGGCAGCATTGTAAGACTAAAATGGAAACGCATTAAACGATATTGCACTTGCAAGGAAACTTAAAAGGAATCGGGGTTTCTCTCACGCCCTGCTGTCATAATAGCCTGCACATTGTCCTGCCGTTATTGAACGTAAATTTTTATTTGCAAGCATTGTTACTGTCTTACTCCACCGGAATCCAAATCTAATTACCTTCACTTTTATGCAATTCGCGATTTTTGCTGTTTTTTCCCGGCATTTCATAGCAGAAATCCATCCATCCATCTGCCTGCTATTCAATTATTTGTGGCAAGTGCGGAAATAATATGAAAAGTCAATAGAATACCGCCTGAAAAGGATATTTAGGGATCACGTCATGAAATGTTTAAAATATTAGATGTGAAGGCAGGGCGACAACGTATCAACGTGACTTCATATGCAGATCTCGAGGAGATGGAGGAACGGCGCGAAAATTGCTAGCCGAAAAGCGCCCCGAAATGAAAATGCGAACACACTGCATTGGTAAGAAGCCCTGAAATATGAACCCGAGAAGTAATTTGACTGTGGCCAAATCCTAATAAATTTCGCCAGGGATCCGGAATTGTACAGTTGCGACCTATTTACATAAAACTTACCTCTATAAGGTGGAATTTGTAAGCTACATTTCTACATTCGGTCATGAATTATGTCGAAATGGAGACAAGGCGAAATCTACCATAATAATGCAACTGGAGTGGAGTTATTCGGCAAGTTAATTTGACCTTTTCCCCTCCCGGGTTTTGTTTAGTTTTCGCAGTTATCCCGCAAAATAACGTTTGCTATAAGCAAAATATTGTTAGATGTTCTGAAGCATTGAGCCCAATCGGCATAAATCGCTAGGAATGTTTTGCAAGCCACGTTGGGCAAGGATAAAGTAAACATCTGCCAGCCATCCAGGACTCAGTGAAAATCGTGCGCTACCGCAAATTCGGAAATGTGAAATCAAAGCCGCTTTCTTGGAAACGAAAATCGAATCGCCCAACGGAAGACAAATTGGGTCCATCAAAGCGGCTTTTATGAAACGCATGGTAAAGAGAACAACCAAATTGGACTTCTTATTTGAACAGGCTACGCGAGCTGACTGAGCATCGATTTTGATCTAAATTGAAGATCATTTACAAGCTGAAAATATATCAAACGCTACTGGTTTTACTATTTCGTGACTCTCATGGCTTTTAAGGCGCCGGAAGATGATTTTTTCGTGCGGTTTCGTGTTTTCTACTTGCGGATTTTATTCCTGTATTCAGATTGTTTCGGAACACTTAAATTGTTTCAGATTCAGTAATTTTTCATTGATTCTACATATTGGCTCATATATTTACAATTTCTGCTCGATTTGAATGAATTTTCTCCCCTTTAACTGGTACAAGCATGCGGCACTCATTTTCTGTTTACGTCTTTTACATAAGCCTCTAATAGACATTCAATGTATACATAATTAATCCGGTAGGGAATTTTATAATAATGTATCATTCATTCAGACGTACTTATCACGCAGAACCCTTAAAAAATGTAACACTCTCTATATGACCTTATTCATTCATTATTACTTGTTCGATCACATTTTTATATAGATTTCAATTGTTCACAAACTAGAGGTTCAGTCAATTCATTCGCTTATCAAGTGTGAGTTTGTCGCGAACTTTAACAAACTTTAATTTATTCCATTTTGTCGTTGTTGTTTAAATACAAAAACTCCAAACTAAAGTACAAAATTTTCCGCCAAACTCGAGCCTCATGACTGTCTTCAACTATCGGGAAATGATCAGACGTTAGCCACGAGTAGAACACTACGTTATCCATCAATCCATCCGCTCTTTAGATAAACTCTAATAAAACTTTCTCCTCTTTTTTGAACCATCGAAATGTCAGTTTCAATTATTGTTTCATCATTCCATCGAGAGAAAAGTTTCCTTTTGCAATTTCAGTTTTTTTCAAGTTTTTCTGTAAAAGTCATGCTTTTGTCAACAGAAATAATGCGGAAAACTTGCCTCAAAACCGTTCGCATTGGCCATTTCGTATTTTTTTCAAATAGCGCCAAGTCCAAAAAAATTCCAGTTGAACTTGCAGACTGCGAAAAACCAAATATAACTGTCGAAATACGCTTAGGTGACGCAAAATCTGCTTATTTTCTCCGTTTCAATTTTATGCAAACAAGTCCGACCTACCTTTCACATCAAACAGGCTGCAAGCGTTTGAAGATTTTCTGCATAGGATATTTACGATGAAAGTTTTGCTTTGAAGCCAGCCGGGAAAATTGCCAAGCAACTTTTTTAGCGCATTAATTTGGAGGGTGAAACTGCGATTTTTTCCAATGGAATCAAAATAAATATCGGTGAAAATAAAACACGTAAATTGAAATTGGCCGTATAATGATTCAGGTTCGGGGAAAGGCACAAGGTGGAAATGGAAATGATGCAGGACCTTTTCAACAATGACCCCAAAAGGCAAACATGAACGTAAAATCAACTGGATGTTCTTAGGTGTAAAATGATTAAATGGAACACAGTTGGAGCCGCTGCTAAAGACTTCCTATGGCCCTCAGTGTTAGTTCCGACACCTGAAAACGCGAAAATAATGTCACTTTTTTAGGTTTTTTTACAAACTTCTTTTTGGGTATTTCGCCTCAAAAATTTTTGTCTTTAAAAAGGACAGACATTTCCTCACGTCTTTTATTACAGACTGATAAATAGTGCTCCTATTTCGCAATAAGAATGAATTATTTATCAAAAAGCAATCAAGAACTATCACCTAGAAGGTATCCTGCGACACACTTAGGCTCAAGCTGTAAGAGAAAATTCCAATTAGTAAAGAAATT